TATAAAGGAGATGCTAGCAGCTACTAATACTCTGCTTATTGCTCCTTTTTTTTTTTTTTTTGCGAGGTAGTTGGTTGAGGTTAAGCTTTTAAATTTGTAATTGCATTAAAATTTATAAAAAGAGTTAATACTATTATTTTTCTGATCTTAAGTACTTTTGTTAACGCTCACAATTCACAAAAATTCTCAGTAGGTAAATTGTCAAACAGTGTAAGATTGAACAAGTCACCCGGGATCAGACCGTCCAAGCCTACTCTTTTCCGGATACAATTTTACTTCTTAATTTGACACGATAAAACGAGAAAAGAAAAAAACTGTTCATGGTGTTGCAATTTTGGTTGAAATATGCTTAGTATAGAGGCCGTTTTCGAATTTAAGGTGCTAAACCTTCGATTATGAGCAAATGTTGGACTGTGGTACGTAGAAAATTATAGCGGTTGTCCTCATTCTTTGTACCCAACTTTAATTTTTTTTAATACGTGTATCTTTGTATTTCCATGGACGGATTTCATTTGAAAATATTCGAAAAACGACCGTGCACCAAGTTACATATTTTTGGACGAACACATTCTGTGAATGAGGTTACAAATAAATCCAAGGACCTTGCTTGGTGTACATAAGTGTGTCATTTCTCTCACATGGGGTAGAATCCACAGGGTGTCCTTTCCCTTACATGGAAAGGACACTCTTATCTACACTTTTTTTATGTACACAAAGCACAATTCTAAATCCAATAAGTTAAAAGGATGGATTGGAGACAGACATGAAAAACAGTGTAAAGGTTGAAGAAGGTACCTAGAATTTTTTGGGTCCCACCCCATGTGAGGGAAATGACAACCTTATGTACACTTTTTTTTGTACACCAAGCATAATTCTAAATCCAATAAGTTAAAAGGATGGATTGGAGACAGACATGGAAAACAGTGTAAAGGTTGAAGAAGGAACCCAGAATTTTTTTATTAATTTTTTTTCTTTTCAAAATTTGCATAAATCTCTCTTCTTACGTTTTACTAGTGGAGGCACATGCGATGCACGTGTATGCGTTATTCTCCTTGTGCATATTAGCGTTGGGACTACATATGTATACTACAATAAATAGATGGAAGTAAAGTGATGAATGACATGTAAGTGAAGAAGAAACTCCTGTTACAAAATGAAAAAGAAAGCATTTTGGATATTAAAAGTACTTAAAACTGAAATGTTTGCAAATAGAGGATAGGCGAAATATGAAACTGCTGGTACAAAGAAAGAAACTAACAAAGTAAACATACTTCAATAGAACACACAAAATATACTTGTTACATGATGAGTATTTTTATCAATATATAATGGATGGCCTAGTAGATAAAGGCTAAACTCGAGTGCAAGAAAATTTGTTGGTATCTGTAGTGTACCTCCCCAGCCAGTTTTTTCGTCATCTTCAAATACACTAACAACTGTCTAGAGATCAGACGAATTCCAGTGGAAGTCAACAACCTTATCCTTGTCATTCAAAAAAATCATAAGGTGAGTAGCGAAGAAAATATGAGAGTATTAGGACTGTATGTTGCCTGTAATTTGGGGCAAAGGTGGACAATCATCAGGCAAAACAATTAACGAGGAGAACACACTCATATAGGTTGTGTTTATAGAGGAGAGCAGAGATTGAAAAATAAATAAAACACTCTAAACCACATGAGTCAAAAATTTATTTGCCACTTGTGAGGATGCAAAACAAGAAAAATAAAGATAAACTTGGGACCTATGCCCTGCATATCGAAAGAAAAGACCTTGCGAAGAATTTGAACTTCCTGTTCCAGGACCCTCCAGCTTGCCAATCTAGGCGAAGAATAAAGATTTCAAGCACGATCAAAAGAGTCGATCACTTGATAAACAATGAAAAAACTTGCACAATTCTTTTTTACAAAACAATCTTGTCAGAAGCTTCAAAACTCCATGCTATATCATAAATTTTGTACAGAGGTGAGAAAAAATAAAGCAAGCAACTATGAATAGACTGTGACTCCACACCTTTCCATAATCCCATATATTCAGAATATCGTCCTCTGCAGCACTACCAAAGAAAGATGACCTGTCTACCGACCACTGGAATAGAAATATATCACTGTAAAATTGCTAGTTAAAACATGCAATAACAACACTCTCCTACTTGAAAACATGTTAGGCAACCAAAAGAGGAACCGGTCATTTGCTTGATATCAGGGAACAACGAGCTTCTACATTCACCACATAGTTGCTTCATTTTTGTACACGAGGGAATAAATAGAATAATTCACAAGGATACTCCTCATAAGAATTTGTCTTAAGCTAGAGTCTGGTTTTTTTTTTTCCAAATACAATTAGTAACTCATAGATTTAATAGTAAATAAGGTAAAGAACTTAGATTTTACAGTCAAGTTCTGGAAGAAATAATAAAATCTTAAACACATTTGAGCTACAAGTCATATACAAGTTAAGCTTAAAGAAGTATCCAAACATTAAACATTATAAGCGGGACCCTCGATTATATTTCAAAGAATAAATCAGAGAATATGAATCTTTACGTTTAATTATTTTCTGTAATCAAATAAAACAATAATTGTTAAGATGAACAAAAGTAATATCTTGGTATAAAATCAGTTTGCCAAATCTTAAATGTCAGCGAAAATTTTGATCAATAAATAGGTCCGTGCTCACTTAAAAAGTCTGTCAACATAGTAACATAGACAGAGTGCGAAATCAATATAGAGTTCCACCTATCATAAGGAATTTCACGTCGCTTCATGTATTCTTAATTTAAACAAAACAAAAATCACTTTAGTTTTAGTTCAGATGTCTATATGCTTCAGCCCTCCTCCAACCTAGCTGTAATTTCCTAGTACTTGGCCAAACTGACCAGCCCAGACCCACTGTCCTTGAAATCCACTCATGCCATTAATTATCTATCATAAAGTCTGGATAAACCTACCGTAGGGAATGATGAGAAGTGGTCTGGAACGGGAAATATCTTTCCCAAGTAGGAGCAAGCTGATCAAAGGAAATTTTTTGGTAGTCTTTTGAAAACTGAGTCTATAGTTAACTGCAGCAGAGTGTAACAAATTCATGCTGGCAAAGGTTTGGATGATTCAAAGTAATAACAAGCTCTTCGGCAAATTGTCATACTTAGGGTAGCCAAATATACCCAAGATTCGAAGTAATAACAAGATGTCATGCACAGGGTTGCCAAATATATCCAGGGCAATACAATGTTAAGAGTAATTGTCGCAGAGCTTCAAGAAGAATATAAGCACTGCCAGTTATCGACTTACTCCGTTAGACAAACATCAAGGATTGAGCTGAGCTTCCTCCCAAAGCTTGGCACTGGTCGAGATTGTACATTTTTTTTCAGTTGACGTCTTTCCAACATAAATGTAATATCAAATTACATTTAATGTTTTATGATGTTTAGATTTGTGCGTGCAGATAAAATAAAGCAAAATATTATGAATCAAGCAAAACCTTCAAAAATATGTTTACAAGAAAAGCTACCTCGTTTGCAATAAAAGAAAAAAAAAATTCATTTGCAATCTCTTCACAATGTACAGTGGTAACCATGACCTACAGTAGATAAGCAAATTCATCAGTGATTATCTATCTGAATAGTTTATTATGACATCAGGATAGATGTTTAGATGATGACTTTGTGAGCAGGCAGGTCAAGATCCTTGTTCTCCTTGATGATCTTCCAAATTTGTTGCGCAGTAAATGAAAAGCCAGAAGCAGGAACTACAGCTTGCCTATCCCCAGCAATGCCACCAGGAGTAATAGAATGAAAGAATCTCTGTCTTAGGCAGCTCACCACCTTGATTAAAAGACAAACAAGTAAAAATTCTTAGACCCCTAAAAATCTCAAGAGCATCATTCTAAAAACAACGACAGAAGGTACAAAGGGCAAAGAACAAAGCAAGAGCATTCACAAGAACAAACACTAAAATGACTCGAAACAATTCAAACATGGTATTAACCTGCTCTTTGAATTGTTCTTACCTCTTCTTGACAAATGGAGAGCAAGCTTCTTCATTGAACTGAAATGATGATAACTGAAACACCAATTGAAATAGTAAAAATAAGGTTTGCTCAGAATAACCTATGAGGATAAAAACAACCTCTTTTGCAGCTTCCGTGCTCAATCTACACAGATCAACATCTGTTCTAGTTACTGTTGATCCTTTGCCAACAACTGTTTTCTTCTTCACCGTTGCATTTGAAATTGAGGCCTTAGGAGTTACACGAACATAACTAAAACCTAGACCCTGTCCACAAGGGTCACCAACACCAATAATCTCCAGACGCTCAATCTTTTCTTCATCCTG